TCACAAGACAATGACTATTACCACCAATGCTCTTATAGGTTGTTGGGCCAAACAAATCCATATGCAAGAGCTCCAATGGTCTAGATGTGGAGATGATACTCTTAGAAGGATGAGAGCATGCAACTTGTTTACCGGCTTGTCAAGCACTACAAAGTTTATCCTTCTCAAACTTCACATCTTTCAAGCCCACAACTAGATCACGTTTTGAAAGTTTGCTCAATTGATTCATGCCAACATAGGCTAGCCTTCTATACTAAAGCCAACCCAATGAAGTTTTTGCAACTAAACAAGTTTTCAAATTTGCTTCACTAGAGTTGAAATCAACCAAATAAAGATTTCCATATCCAAAACCTTTGAAAACACAAGACTTGTCATGAAGAGTAGAAACAATAACCTCTAGCTGGAAGAAAGCACATGACAAGCCAAGATCACAAATTTGTACAACCGAAAGCAAATTTAAACTTAGAGATTCAACAAAAGAGACATTTTCAATTAACAAATCATTGGAGATAGCAATTTTACCAAACCCAATTACCTTTCCTTTGCTACTGTCTCCAAATGTCACTTTCTCTTGTTCTGTCCCTCCTACTTCAAATGTGGTGAACATAGCCCTATCACCGGTCATGTGTTGAGTGCATCCACTATCAAGCACCCAATGGCTCCCACCGGTGCGATAATTCACCTACAAAAGAAGATCAAGCTCTTTTAGGTACCCAAACTTGTTTGGGTCCTTGGAGGTTAGAAACCAAAGCTTTGGGCACCCAAATGGCATTCTTTTTACCACCAAGTATAGGGGAACTCACATATCTAGCAGCAATACTACCATCATAAGCCTTTCTAATCATATAATGAGAATCAAACATGCATGTCTCAGAAGGCTTACCAACGGGGCAATCATTCACCAAATGCCCAACCTCACGACACTTGGAGCAATACATACCATTGCTCTTGAAAAAAGGAGTGGCACGGTGAAAAGGTTTCTTACCCTTCTTTGGAATGAATCCAACTCTCTCCTTGTTAAGGATGCACCGTTGCTCACTCAAAATCTTGTCAAGAGTGTTCTTACCCTTGAACCACCTCTCCAAACTCTTGTTGAGCTTGGCCACTTGCTCCTTAAGCTCATCGTTCTCAACAACAAGTGAGGTATCACAAATAGAAACACAAGAGCTAGAGCTAGAGCTAGGTATATCAATAAGATCATCACAAGAGGTAGAAATGCTAGATGATGCAACATGAGGAATATGACAAGAAGCACTATCATCAAGCAAGTCACAAGATATGCCAACATCAATGTGAGTTCCATGCTGAGTAGTGGAAAAGAGGTTGTGATGAGCTTACTTAAGCTTCTCATGAGAAATGGTGAGTCTCTCATGTGAAGTCTTTAGCTCCTCATACAAGACCTCCAAAGAAGCATGATCCTTTTTTAGGGCGTTGAACTTGACAATCTCCTTTTCACTATACGCATGGAGCTCCTCAAACATACTCACAAGCTCATCATATGAAACATCATCACAATCATCATCACTCACACTATCACTGAGAGATGTTACCTTAGAAGAGCCCTTTGCGATGAGACAAAGTGGAGCGAAGAGTGATGGAGCCTCCTTGCTAGCAACAACGGCCATCTTCTTCTTCTTGGAGCTTGCATCATCATCACCTTCTTCTTCGGACCTGGATGAGGCGAAGCTCTCCTTCTATGCTTTTGGGCAACCTCAAGATCGGTGTAGGTTGCCCCAAGCCCCTTGAGATCATTCACAATGACATTGAGCCTCCCATACATGTCATTCACACTCTCATGAGGCAACATGGAGAATGTCTCACATTGGATCTTGAGGAAATGAAACTTGGCATCGTTGTACTCACTTGTGCCCTCATGGATCTCCGCCAACTTGTTTCAAATCTCATATGCGGTCTCAAGGTTGCTCACTCTATGGAACTCCTCTTGGCTCAAAGAGTTGAACAACGCATTGAGTTAGAGGTTACGGTGATCAATCTCCGTCAAGAGCATGCCGGTGATAGCAAAGCCTACATCCGCAAAACTCCAAATATGGAAGCTCATAGCTTTGAGGTGAGTAGACATTCTAATTTTCCAATTGGAGTAGTTTGTTCCATTGAACATGGGAGCCTTCCCTACATGGTTCATCTCGTTCGACATCTTCTCTCTAGGCGGTGAAGCCCAATCAAGAGAGACCAAGCTTTGATACCACTTGTAGGATCGAGATGTCGACTAGAGGGGGGGTGAATAGGCGATTTAAAAACTAAATGACACCTAATCAAAACTAACCTAAGTTGCTAGGCTCGGTGAGGGTCAAGTCTAACAAAGCAACTAAGTTATGTTTTGCAAACCTAGGGTGATAGTGGCTCAATTATATCTCTAGGAAAGTAAATCACACTCCTAAGTCAATGTTTAGCAATCCTAGGGTGATATGATCTCAAGTATGTCTCTAGGAATGTAAATTGCACAAATGTAAATGCAACAAATAAATGAGACAAGGAGACAAGAGATTTTTCACCGAGGTTTTGAAACTCGCCGGTTTCCTACTCCCTGTTGAGGTGAGCCCAACTCCACCGCTCAACCAGGAAGCCACTGCACGCCCCCTTCATCAAGGGGTAGGCAAGGCGGGAGCCGGCCTACGGAGAGGACTACCCAAGCCTCGATCACTCGGGATAGTTCTTCCTTCACTCCGAAGATGGTGAACTCCAAACCACTCACAACCGGCACCGGACCTCCTCCACAATCTTCTAAGAGAGGCCACCGGGCAACTCCTCCAAAATCTGTCTAAGAGGCGGAAACCTCCAAGAGTAACAAGCGATGACCCGGCTCGAAGATGACCAAGTGCCACACTAGCTCAATAAATGAAAGCAAATGCATGTGAGTCTAAATGCAATGACCTAATGTGGCAATTTAAATAATCTCTTTGCTAGGTCATTTCCCCCCTTGATAGTACAGCGAAGCTAAAAATAAACTAGCAAATTTGATCGCCCTACACCTCGATCAATTTGAAATTAAAACACTAGTTTACCGTCTTCTTTTCCTTTGCTTTGCGACATCAAATTTTAATCCATCGATAATCATCCATGTGCACACACGATGTGAACCTAACTCAAAACATATAACTTGATAGAATGGTTAGTCCACAATTTGCGCTTGTCATTAATTACCAAAACTAACTACGGGGGCCTAGATGCTTTAGAGGCCCACCTCGACTGACCCGTAGCATATATGCCCATATAATGATACTTAATAATCTAGACACCACATATACATTATTAAATACTACTCTACATCCCCCGAGATGACATAGAGTAACCGAGTAATCGAACATTAAACTCACACCACTGCATCTCTCTGGTAGGTTAACTATACGACTGTATCGATGTAGATATAAAGTAAAGACGTTACTCAGATATACTAAAGTATCAAAAGTATATTAAGAATAGTATTTCATTAATTCCAAAAGTCTTACAAAAGAAAGAAGGAAAACTACTAAAGCCATACCGAAATTCCTCCGAAGACTCCGAGGACTACGAGAGCTATTCTATTCTAATCCACTTAACACTAGAATACAAAACTAAAGTGTAGAAGAGATATCTTGAGCTTGTTTGAGTGTGTGAAGTAGTGGAGGTGGTGAGGGCCTTTTATAGCTGAAGAATGATGGTTGTGGCAGTTGGAAAGGTTGGTAATACCCTCCAACCGCCATTGGGAGTGAATTCCCACCGTCTGATCAAATGCCTGGATCGAATGGCGCTGGGACTGGTTCGGCCGAACCCTGGGCTAGGCCAACCAGCCCAGTACTCGGCGGCCGTCTCCTCTTCCGCTTCTAGACTTAGAATTGTGAATTATGGGACTTTTTGATCGTGTCAATTTTGAGTTTTTGGCCCATTTGTCCATAAGTCTGATAGACAGTGTCTAATTGATTGTTTGAGTGTTTTGCTGTCGGTTCTCCTCCATATTGTATCTCTTTATCTACAGACAGATAGACTTCAAGTACAAGTGGAAATAAGTTATTCTAAAACAAATATGCATTGCAAGCATAGCTAGTTCTCCTTTATTTTAGTTATATTGACGGTCGAAATTGGTCCATCAAGAGTAGTTTAATACGATCTCTTTGTACTTAGTTTCTTTTAGAAAATCAACACAATAACTATGGTAGTTTGCCAAATTGTCATCAAATTTTGATCAACTACGAATTACTTTGTACCGTTCAATTGTTTCTCCCTTTTTTAAAATGACAGCTCATCATGGAGGTTCAAAAGGAATAGGATACAAGAAACTTAGGTAAGTTTGTTGTTTCATGTGCAAGCACCGAAATTGTGTAAGTTTGTGGCAGTGGGAATGTGTGAATGTCTATGAAATTCTTGTGAGAACTTGGAATGCATGTGTGTGATGTTATTTTTGAATGATGTGCTAAGATTAGAAACATGTATTATTGCGGGATTCTGTGATGGTTCTGTTTTTTCAGAGGGCGTGGCTAGCAAATCCTGAGGCTAGCCAATATTTTGAAATTAATTTATTTTCAAAATTAGCTCATCACTGACGGGTCGTAAGCAAAGGCCGTCACAGTTGGCATCAGCTGTGATGGCTAGCTAAATCAATCCGTCAAAGGTGAGTCACTTGTGATGGGCTTCAATGCAGATACATACATGTGATCATCTGTGACGGGCCATCAACTTCGGACCCGTCAAAGATGTGTCACCTGTGACGGGTTGCAACCATGAGTGACTTGAGGGGGGCCCTCGCCTGTGACGGCCCAGAAAGTGCAGGACCATCAGAGGTGATGCTCATTTCTGACGGTCTGCCACCCGTCAAAGGTGATTGGAGTCACCAGCGATCTTTATTCAGTGACCAAGGCCATAACCGTCAAATGTCACCGTCACATGTAGGGTGATCTGGTGTAGTGAGAATCATCTCTATTTTTTATAATAGGTAAAGATTTCACGAGGATTTCATGTATATGAAATAACTTTTAGGCTGACTGTATCTTACTTACCAGGCCTGTCATAAGAAAAAAAAAATCTTTACAACGGGGACAATTACAATGGTGATACTGGAAGTTGTAATATGAAACTCTTCCGAGAAAGAATTCGGTTCAAAAGTACTCTTTGGAGAAAGAAGAGTAAAAAATCTAATTAAAGGCACAATAAATAAGCCCAGGAATTGAAATCTTGAGCCACATACCTAATTTTCTACTCATCATATATGATACTCGTAACCCTGCTGTACTCATCGTCAGATTTCATCTGTCGTCGTGGTAGTAGTAGTCATCGTATTCCATATTTTTTTTGGCGTAATAGTCGTCGTATTCGTCATTGTCGGAATAGCCCGGCTTGTTGTCCATTGGGCTCCGGTGGCAGCTCATGCAGCGGAAAGATTTGGAGATTGCCGCGCCGCAATACTGGCATTTTCCCCTGGTCGGTGATGGTCGCTTCACTACCGGTGGCGGCGGCAGAATCGTCGGCCGCTGTTGTTTTGCCGGAGCAGGCCGACGCATCTGGACGACCTGAGGTCGCTTCGGTGCGCTCGGTTGCGGCTTTGGCGGAGGACCTGGTGGTTGTTGCCTCTGCGTCGTCTTCGGTGGCGGTTCAGGAGGCCTCTTGGCCGCCGGTGGCGTCGCCGGCGCGGCGGCTGTAGGCTTGGTACGAAACAGGTCTTCTGCCCGCATCGGAAGCGTACACACCGAGGCGGCGGCGGCGGTGGCCCCCGGCGGGGGATGCCTGGTCGACAGCACGTCCCAGGCTGTCTGGACGAGCTTGAACGCACCGTCGGCGGCGGCGGAGGTGTTCTTGTCGGGGTGCACCAGGAGGCACAGCTTCCGGTACTGCTTCTTGACGGCGTCGTGGTGGGTGACCAGGTCGGAGCGCGGCTGGGGCAGGCCGAGCATGGCGTACCAGTCGGGCCCGCAGCCGGCGACCCCGATGGCCTTGAGCGCCGCGGCGGAGTGCACGTTGTAGGCGGCCGCGGCCTGCGCGACGCCGGGGAGGTCCGGGTCCAGCTTCAGCGCGTTCTGACACCATCGCTTCGCTCCAGCTACGTCGCCAGCGAGGAAGCACCTCTCGGCGAGGTTTTTGGCCTGCAGGGCACGATCTTGCTTGGACGACGACGACGACCCAGCCATGACTGGCAATCGATGATGTCTGTGCCGCCCACCTTTCCCAGTTTCCACCAATATATAAGAGCAAGTTTAATAGTAGAGCTCACTACTTACTATTAGTCAATGTTAAAGCTAACATGTATAGTAGGTTGGCTATAAGTTTATCTTTATTTTCTTCATCCTCTCTCTTTCTCTCACCATGAATTTAATGCATATTTCTTGGAGTTTGTGTGCAGTTAGCTCTTGCATGAGAGCCAACACTCCCCACTTTTGTTTATCTCTCTCTTCCACATAAGCATATAGCTTGCTTATAGCCCACTATTATCCTTGCTCTAATGGCACGGGTAGAGAATCATAAAAGTATCCGACACGGAGGTGAATCAGAGGCAGAATCGTATCCGATTCCGATACGCGTCGGGCCAGATTAGAGTAGGTATAGGCTATAAGCAAGCTATAAATATATTTTAAAGAGATAAAAGTAAAAGAGAGAAAAGCAGCGGGGCTACAAATATATAGCCAGCTGCAGCATGGACAATAAGACGTAATGTGTGTATGACTGGTGGGACCAGGTATTAATAGTATAGTAAGCAACTATTGTATGAATTAGCCATTACATTGGTTATAGATGATTTGGAGCAAGTTTAGTAGTATAGGCAACTACTAGCTCCAAATCATCTATAGTTAATTTAATAGCCATTATTTAGAAACATATCACTACTGGAAAAACCATCTTTGGTCAGTCAACCAAATTTCACAATAGTACCGGTTGTATTGAAAAGCTCAAGGGTACTTTTCATTTTTAGTCGCGGTTTAAAAGAGGACAGGCGGTGTCAGACCCCTATATTTTCTTTAGTCCCGGTTGGTGTTACCAACCGGTACTAAAGATCAATTTGTAGTGCCAGTTGATAACACCAACCGGAATAAAAGATCGGCATGCGCGGAGATCGAGGCATGGGAGCAGATCGGATCGAGGATCTTCCTTCCAGTTCTATCTCCTCCTCTCCTTTTAAGTCCTCTCCTCCTCTCCTTACTCACCCTATCTCTTCCTCTCCTCCTCCCCCTCCCCCCTCCTCTCCACTTCTCGATCTGCACGAGGCGGCGGCGTGGCCGGCTAGCAGAGGGCTGGTGGAGGGCCGGGCGACGGCCTACTTGCGGCGTGGCTGCGTTGCAGGTGGCGGCCGGCGCGGCGGCGTGCCGGCGGCCGGCGAGGGGGCTACCAATCGGAAGTAAAAACCACTTCTCCACCAGTGTATACTACACTATTAATATATGGTCCCACCTGTCATACGCACATTGCGTCTTGGCGTCCGTGCTGCAGCTGGCAAATCTGTAGCCCACTGCTCTTCTTTCTCTTCTCTTATCTCGTAAAAATATGTTTATAGCTAGCTTATAGTATGCTATTGTACCTGCTAGAGTCACTTCAACTTCTAGCGAACACTTCCAAATATACAAGGACAGCAGGTGAATGACTCTGAATATGGTTATTTCTTAGCAATTCTATGTTTCCTTTGAGTGGTTTCGAATAGATTTAAATTTTAAAGCTTTTAACTCAAACTTTTTTAAAACATAACTCCCTAAAACTCTACCCAAATTGGAAACATGCATCGATTTCAATATTCTTTGAAACTTTCTAACTCGATTCTAATTTGTGTAGCTTTCAACTTAAAATTTTAAACTTTCAACTCATATTTAAAAACTTTTAAATCATCTCTTTTTATTATTTTATTTAAAATATAAAACTTTCAACTTAAATTATGAAACTGTTCTACTCAGTTTTTTGAATCTTTCAACTTATATTTTACAACTTTTAACTCAATTATGTATTTATTATTATACTAGCAATTATAACCGTGCATTGCAGTGGGGAGAAAAATCGAGAAAGTTAGAGAGTATTGTTGGCAGAAAGCTGAGTAAAATAGGTTGATACAGTATAAGTTATCAAAGGCTAGTCCTTTAAAAAAGAAGATGCATGTCTTTAGCATGATACCGACAATGCTAACAATGTAGGGATAATGCAAACTAGTATTTTTACTTACATTTCAATGGCTTAAAAATACCATGTAGTGGTAAGTGATTGAAATTACCCCGAGTCTTTTCACAAACTAACGGACTTGAACGTTGGGCCTCGCCATATGAGAGCTCTTTTACATGCTAAGGCATTAACAGAATGATTGAAATGTTTATTTATTGGGAAAAAAATATTGAAATGTTACTACAGGTGAAAAGATCACTTCACTAATTAATATGGAATTAACACAGGAGAAGAGGGCTAAAAAGATCATTGCTGGCTACATGTGTATGGGAAATAAAAAGAGATATATCAGTACACATTAAATCATACAGAAGATTGTCAAAGGCCTGGGCGTTTTTGGGGTTGCGCGTCCAAACCCAGCCGCTTCGCCCTTGTGGCCGTGCCGCCGAGCCGAGAGGAACACCGACGAGAGGACGAGCGCGTGAAAACGTCACACTCAACACCCACGCACACGTCTTGTAGAGATTATGGGTAATGTTTACACCCTATTTTGACACTTGGGATTAAAATAGGGTTAGTTTGATCTACGCCATTATAAATATGTCAAATTAAAAAAATACTATTACTATTCGCGATATCGGCTGAATGCCACTGAAATTTTCTAAAATTCGATCCATGCTACTGCCGTTTACTTTTCCATCATCGCCGTCACATCCTCCTCGTCGCACAGCTCTGGATCACGCCACCATTCCGAAATTGCTCTAGGCCAATCAGCACACTTTGTCTTGCCCTCATAGACCAACACTAGTCTTTTCTGCACAGCTCGTGTGTACTGGGGAAAAATTGCTCTAGGCAAACACGCTTAACCTCAGAGTTCTTTGGAGATCGGATTCCGGAAAATAAGTTGCAACTTATTGGTATGAGTATTCTATTAATCATATTAAGCCCAAGGCCGGAATGTCACAGGTGTGGTCGCGCTCTGCGCCGCCAACATCGTGACTGGAGAGCATGTAGTGGTTGGCGCTGGCGGATCGGTTCCAGAAGGGGTGGTGAGCGACGACGACGCGGACATAAGGATGGTCCTGGGAGAGTGGGCAGTACACGAAGGAAACACTGAACGACAAGAAGAAGGTATGGGCGTGTGTAGGGTCGCACGTGCGGACGCCACTCTAGCGGTGACGGCGGCGCCATGAGGTCGAGTTGTTCGTCGATGAAGCGGCCTTCGATGGTGTACATGTTTGGACGGACACTCATGCAGGATCGGTGGCTCGACTTCGTCGTACATGTACACCTTGAACCGCTTATTCATCTCCAGGTAACTCATGCATCCATGGTGCACGCTCGTGATCGATAAAAACGACACCGGCCCCACCGCCGTGGACGGATGCTAAGCTAATCATACCAGTAGAACGCCGCCGGGTTGCGGTAGACATGCGAAAGGAGCGCATAGTCCGGCTCGCGTAGAACGCCAGCCAGTTGGCGGAGCGGACGTCTTCACCCTCACCTCCGCATCCGCGGCGGTGATGTTGCCATGCAGCACGTCGTATCGCGGCGCGTGCCACGTTGAGCTCCTCCTCCACGGTCGGCTAGAAGAGAGAACAACACAAAGCTATATCTTAGAACAAACCGCTGGTCCATGGACGACATCAAGGCTATCGGGTCCGCCCGAGCTCGACATCACCGGCCGCAAGCTCTTCTACTCCGACCACTCCATGAATCATAGCGTAAGCAAGCAACTCAAGATTATTAACAGCACTCTCTAGCAGCAATTAGTTCTTGAATCTCGATGAGCTAGTTATTCAGTAGTTTCCTGAGACAAAATGGATGCTTTGGTGACACGACGCAGGTATCATATCCTCCGAGATAGAGGTGCGTCGAGTTTCGACGAGTGCGATGAAGCCAATCTCCGACATCGCCGTATTTGAGGATGTTCTTTTCGTCTCGGATTCAATCCAGCCGAAGGGATTAGTCCCGGCGATTTCATTGATTTAATCTTCAAAATCATTTGGCTTTGCCGTTTCAGTAGTTAGATTGTTTTATAACTGCAGATTAATTTTCTGTTACTCTCTTGTTTTTGTATGCCGACTGAGAACAAGATCAATGGCTGCCATCTCGGTGTGTCTGCCCAACACCTCGTGTTCCCCCATGCACCATGTACAGATGCCGGTGTAATCCGACACGGGAGTAACGTGGAACCACAGGCAGTGCTCACAGCTCACACACGATCGAGATCGCCAGCTACCATGAGTCATCCACATGCATGTATTGACCAATCGACATCATCCAGGACACCTCGCCGGAATCATGCACCAATTAATTCATTAAGCATGCTTTTATGTTCCAAACATATATACACGAGCTTATATAAATAATTTTGCTTATGGTACTAAACAGATTGATCTGTTAATTGTTCTATTTTGAAGTATCCGGACCGGTTGATTCTGCTGCCGCCGACTGGTATCCTCGCCTATACGGTTGGTTGGTCACACCACCTTTCATGGGCATCCACATCCCCACCGACCGGCCTGCCTCCGTCGCCACTGACTGGTGTCTCTGCCTACACGGCTGGCCTATTATGCCGCCTTTGTTGGGCGTCTACGACTTCACCGCCGGCTTGCCTTCGCTGCCGCCGACTGGTGTCCTCACCTACACGGTTGGTTGGTCGCACCACCGTTCATGGGTGTCCACGTCTTCACCGATTGGCTTGCCTTTGCCGCCGCCGACTAGTGTGTTCGCCTCCACGGTTGGTGGTCACACCACCATTGATGGGCATTTATTTATCAACACCGCCGGTCGCCTCAGCTGCTTACACGGTTAGTGTTTTCATCATCATTGATGGACTACTTCGTTCCCACATCGGCTATTTCTGTTGTCACCGAGGGAATATGAAAAAGCTAAGTCATCATTAATTTTCTTTATATGATATTTTCTCTTTCCTCTGCCTCACTACATCAACTAGTTCGCCGTTGACTAGTGAGTCGGGGGCTACAGATGCTATATCATATTTTTTTAATAATTTTCATAATATTTATCTTGATTGCTTGCGATATAA